TAAGTTCCATATTCCTTTTGATGGAATATGTATATTATGTAACCTTTAGGTTAGGAATAGATCTCTGCACCATTCCAATCTTCGCTATGACATTTTGTTGTAACAAAGAACGAGAATATTCGCTACCTTTCTCTCATGTCTCTCATGTCTTCCAATGTGATGCCTTCACATATTTCTTATCATTACCTTTCGTGAAAACATTCAAATCACTTTAAAAAAATGTATTAATTACAACTGCATTTTTCAGATGGAGGATAAGATGAAAATAGTTGAGTTGAAAAAAGCCAACTTAGGAATGAGGCGATCCGTCGTAAAATATGGTAAAAGAAAAAATATAGACAGGGTGTCCCATAAGTCAAGGGAAACGTTCAAAAGAAAATACATCAATAACTACAAAAAAGTTCATATCAACAATTGTCCATTTTGCAGCAGAAAAGTGGAAAATTAAAGATTTGTGTTTTTTATGCAAGTCACGTTTTTTGTTGAATAGGAAGCGATAATTAAAAAAACATTTTATTTATATAATAGACAACTGCTCCTCAGTAAACTAAAAAAAATTTACTTCAAAGGAAAGCATAGTTTGTCATTGTTAAAACCATTTAAAGATGACTATTGAGCGAAGAATCTCAGCTGAGTTATGTTTAAAAAAAAGTCATAAATTATTTGCGATTTTTTTTTAACTGTACTAAATTAAAAAAAAAAACTTAAAAAAAAACTTCCAACTTCGATAAACTTTAAGTCCATTTAAGTTGAGGTTAATTAGGAAAAATTTTGAGATTCATCTCAAGTTGTGTAAAGGAATGATATGATTGTATACCCAGTTACCCAAAAATACCAAAGTTTTCAGCAAAAATGACTACAATCAACTTTTGCAAAGTTTTTATTTTTGGTTTTCTCGTAATACGGAATGTATTCTAATAAACATAATTGCCTGAAAACACATCTAATTAATAAAAAAAATTATATAAACTTAAAATTAGCCCTCACTTCTATCATTTCTTATAACTTTTATAATTCTTAAAAAATATCATAACTTTTCAATTAATCGTAGTAAATAGTATTTATCTGAAGTCAGCAAGCCAAAAATTCAGTGTTGCTAAGAACTTGAATTACCGAAAAATTCTAGATACCACGTTTTACCGACCGATCGCCTCAAATAATGTTATTAACGTATAACGTAATAACTCAAAATAAAATTTAATAATTTAATAAATCCACTCAGTAATCATGTATTCAAATGTTTATTTAAAATGGGAAGTGCTTATTTTTACAATACAATATATGTTGTATGTGTGTATCAATCATCAAAAATAATAATTCAATAAACAAGTATGACACTACTAGGTACTTGGAAGACGAAACCTTCACCTCAAGATATAGATATCGTTGGGTATCCATGCCAAGGCTTGGATATCTAGTATCTATTAACAACTAGTAGCCGACTACTGCCAAGGCAAGTTGCAGTATCTTGTACTATATCTCTGTCCTAACTAGTGCTGTCATAACCATTGTGAGTCGTCAAACTGATTTTGTCTGCGGATAAGACTGTATCGGTAGCGTCATCTTTCTTGGCAGCATTGTTCGCTCATACTCTGACAGATGATTTAAAAGTTAATAATATTTTAAAATGAATTTACAATATATACACATACAATACAATATACATACACATACAATATATTATACATTATACTAATAGGAGGCTGATGTTCCATGATGAAATGTCAGTTCAAATTTATGATGTACTTAAAAAATAATTTTTATATCAACTCAAGCTATTACCCTTTGACAGAAAAATGATTCTAATAATGGTTATATACCAGGACGACATTTTAATGCACCATCTCAAATTGTCAATTTTTTTTTTTAATTCATTTCTTTATCAACACCTGTCAGAAGCACTGACAATCTGTAAGTCTGTTGTCGGAAAAAAGTATTATTATTTAGTAATCGGAAAGTATTTTTTTCTGTTGGCATTACGGACCCTGCAGAGTTTTTTCTTATCTATTTTGTTTATCTTGTACTATTTCTTTCCAGTCATCTGCTACTGGAACTGCTCCGTTGTTTTTTTTTAATTGTTGGCTAAAGACTTCCACTGAAGTCCATACCGTATTACATCTTGGTTTATTCGATCTTCGAGCTATATGCCCTCCCATCGTGATCTCCTTAGTTTTCATATCATAAGATATTGATTGATGAGTTTCTGTAAGCACTTCGCTTCGGTTATCATGCGGAGATTTTTGATCTCAAATCATTGAATAATCCTTTCTGTGTTGCTGGTTAGTGTCTAGGGCCCTGATCGAGTACTGAGTAAATAAATAAATAAGTAAAGTATAAGGTAAATAAATGTGTTTTTTAAATAATTTTTTTACATTTCTAAACAAATCCAGAATGTTATCTCTGTATTGCAACCATGTATATCCATATCCATCTTATTTAAAATTAAAATAAATATTAAATACCTACGATGCAGGCACGAAACAGATTCAAAATTAAATTCTATCAAAACAACTAAATAGAAAAAAAATTGAAAAACTCTGAATGTTTCATTACAATATTTGATATTGCCTAATAAATAAATGAATTTTTACTTAATTTAATAAATCTATTTTCGAACCGTTATTGTAAGAAACATCATTATAGTACGTGTTACAAATCCCTTTTTTATCAAATTATTAACATCCGCATGAAACTTCGTAAATAGTTTCATCTCTTCGTAACCTAAAAATATTTTATTAACGAAAATTCTCGGAAATGGGACGTTTTCAATCTGGAGATTGTCAAACTTTATCTATTTAATTATGTACTAAAAACTCATAAATACCCGTTTGCTTTCCACTTGCATCGAAAGATAATTTGATCACAAAATCGAGAAAAAAGGTGGCATGCTAAAATATTGGGCCGTTTGATATGACCTATACCCAAAAAATGTTAAAATAACGAAGTAGTATGTATAGGCCAAAGGGCTCAATATTTTTCTATGCCACCTTTTTTTTCTGGATTTTATGATCAAATTATCTTACCATCCAAGTGGAAAGCAAATGGGTATATACGAACTTTTTGTACCTAATTAAATAGACTAAGTTTTTCGACCTCCAGATTGAAAACGTCCCAATTCCAAGAGTTTTCGTAAATAAAATAGTTGTAGGTTATGAGATAAAGCTATTCACGAAGTTTCAGGCGGATGTTAATAATTCTTGTGTATTCTTTCTATGGTGTATTCTTTTTCGAAACTTCAAGACCAAAAAACTCTCTTACCTTCTCGATTTGTTTACTCCTTGTTCCTCTGTCCATTCGTTCAAAACGACATTCCATCACAACTCTCTTTATTCTTTCTCATAGAACTGTTTCATTTAAAAACTCCTTTGTTATACGTACTGCACTGTTTTAGAACTCCATACGCAAATAATCATCCTTGAATTCATTTAATTAAACACCATTTTTCCATTTCCTCACTAATCAATCTTCCGAGTATATGTAGAAATGATATTTTCGTAATTTAGAGCTGCCAATCTCATTTTATTGTTATCTTACAGATATCTAAATAACATGTATATTGCTCATGTATACAAATATGTGATCTCATATGTATATATGTATAATTTCATATGTCTACTATTGCTTTTTCTTCATTTTAAATTTAGGATTAGATAACTATGTAAATTAATTTATTCTAAATTATTTTCTAATGACAGACAAATATCATTTCATTGTTCACTGTAGCACTGTATTCTTAGGGGACTAAATTTCCCAGAATAAAATTTACTCTTCTTTCGTTCATCACAATAACAAATCTACAATTTTTATTCAGTGACTATAATATAAATTATTGATATTGATGGAGATTTTTTATTTTTTGACGAAGAAAAAATCGAGCTCAAAATTATAAGAAAGTGTGTTAACCTGATTGGTCATACCCACATCACACATGGGGACCAACAAAAAATTTTAACTGAAGATCTCCTGCTGCGTAGAACTGACAGTCAACAGAAATAACCTCGGGGAGTTCGGTACATGACAAGACAAAAAAAAAAAATCTTTGACAATAACACAAAAAGGATTTCAAAAACACCGATAACATTATTTCAAAAGTATTTTTACATGGTGATTACAATCTATTGAGAAACTGAATTCATACTCAACCCAATAGAACAGACCTGAAATTTTTATTTATGTAATTATTTCCGATTTATAATTAATTATCAAAAGTTATAGATAGTTAAATAATTAGTGAGAGGTTGTTTAACTAATTTCAAAACAATATTTCCAAAGGTAATTAAGATTATTTTAACTAGTAAACTACATTGAGTAGACTTGTCCGGAGTTTCTGCGAATTCCAAGTGAACTTAGAAAGGAATATGTTTTCCAACTTGAAGGAGTAAGTTCCAAGGTTTAGCATAATGTTTCGCATAACTTCCTTCCCTTGTCACATTATCTTGGTTAGTAGGGCTGAAATGTAAAGGTATGAATACACCATTTGAGCATTTGAATAACTTTTACTGGAGTAATATTTAGAGTTATTTTACAGAACAGGAATATATTGTATTTTGTTTATTCGCAACCTACAAAGTCTATCACCAAGGAAATAATATAATAATTTCACATCTGTTTTTTTTTTTTTTTTTATTTCCATCTGGAAAAATGTACAAGTAATATTTTATTATCCTATTTATTTTTTAATTATTTTTTTTACAGGAGGCATTTTAATTATATGACTATTATATACATACATATATGCTACCATGCTAATAAACTATAATACTCTATATTATGTCTTGTAATAAGTTATTATAGTATTATATCAGTTTTTGTTTAAATTAAATTAAATCTTTGGGTAGTCATGGATTAAGAATTGGAAACATATGTTTTGCGCCTTGAAAACAAACATTGATAAAAAATACAAAAAACAAATTAAGTTTCATATTTAATTCATTTAATAATTCATTTAAAAAAAATTTCTAGAAGCAGGTTACTTTACAATTTGCAACTTCAATACCATTCAACAACTACACATGCAAGGACAGCTATTTCCCAACTTATTATTTTCATTCTGTTCTGCAAACAGGTATGAAAAAAACTACTACTTTATCTGATCAGATTAAATCAAAGGAAAAATATCATGAGTTGAATATATTTTTACAGGTTATGGGAGAAAAAAAAGAACTCTAAAGCTATCCGACTTCCTGAAGATTGATATATTTTTGTGTCCTGAAGTATTATATTAGTACAATAGATTTCCATGAATATTTGCCCTTCTGTAAAATAATGTGATTAAATTCTTATAATATTAATTTACTCACAATTCACTATTTATTTTCATTTATTATGTCAATTTTCTTTTATCATTCGATATGAAACAACGATATACTTCAACCGTCTATATTTCGTTTTGAACTATAAAATACAAAAATACACAAATGGAATAATGAAATTAAAATAACGCTAAACATTTATAAACACTGATAAAAATTAATAACAAATAAATGGTCTCAAACACATTTGCTTTGTACCATACGTTCAAGTCAACGGTCATAGTTATAGTTGGACATATAAAATAAACATGTGGAGTAAAGTTCACACGATGTTCTTGAATTTGGACCTAGAAACAATATAGTCCGTGGAACTGACACCATTTTATCAAATTATTAACATACGCCTGAAACTTCATAAATAGTTTCATCTCATCATAATCTACAAACATTACGAAATCTTTACGAATTGGGACGTTTTTAATGTGAAGATCGGCAAACTTTGTTTATTTAATTAGGTACTAAAAACCCATGAATACCCATTTGCTATCCAATTGAATCCAAAGATAATATGATCACAAAATCGGAAAAAAAATGTGGCCTACAGATACACATTGAGGCGTTTGGCCTATATAACCTTGTTATTTTAACTTTTTCGAGGTGGAGGTCACGATAAACGGACCAATATATTTTTAGGCCACTTTTTTTCGATTTTGCCCACATATTAAGTTATTATCATATTAAATTAAAGACAAAAGCTAATTGGAATTCATGAGTTTTTAGTACCTCATTAAATATACAGAGTTTGCCGACCTCCAGATTGAAAACGTCCAAATTCCGAGAATATTCGTAAATAAAATATTTGTAAGTTTAGATGAGATGAAGCTATTTACGAAGTTTCAGGCGAATGTTAATAATTTTATAAAAAGGTTTCTGTACCACGTACTAATAACTTCTACTTAGTATTTTGTTGTTGTTTGTGTTTTATATTTATTTTATTTTTATTTTTTTTTATCATTTGATAGTTTGAGACATAAAATCAATATATAAATTAAAGTTATTGTCCGTACCACTTTTTTGACTGTGCGCCTTCAAATAATAACTATTTATTTATTTTTAATAAAATGATTCGAAAATTACGATGTGGTAGAATAATCGATCTGACGTACTGGTCCACATACTCCATTTTTACTTTACAAGGTGATGATAGTATGATATCATAGAATTACCTCCAAAACAAGACATGAATATTAATTATTGATGCCCTTCCTTATTGTTAATTAGCCTTCGTAAATCCCAGAGCAGCATCCTCTCCATTGTTTCCCATTGTAAAGGACGCTTTATGGAAACCTTTCCCATGCTATTTGCCACGCTGCCTCTGCAATGACTCATGACTTTACTTTGGATTTAGCGCAAGTTAGTCTGTGGGCCAGACCCCCTTACCGTGCACCCCCCCCCCCCACATCCCTATAAATTGCATATCGTTGTGTTCCTTGTGACAATTTATTAAAAAAAAGCCAATGTTCCCACAAAAAAAAGTGAACGAACTGCCCCAAAATGGCGTCCAAACATGGCGGATTGACGACTTTGACTTTAGTTAGTTTTTTTGTTACTGAGAATCAGCATTTGGCTTAATTTCATTATAGTTGGTCTTTTATTAAAGCTGGATAGTCAGAGAATAATAAAACATGAAAAAATATTAAAAAATTAATTGGCTTAGGCATTAAAAAAAATCGGTAAAGTCAATTTTTTTTACGAAAAAATTTTCGACTTGAAAATCAAGCGTCGTTTGTAATTAAACGGTCAAAAATAATGCAAAACGTGCTGAAATAAAACATCTGGAGAATACATTTCTCTTTCTAAAACACTGATTACTTTTTAAAATATTTGAAGTAGTTCCGTATAAAATGTACTTAAGCGGCAGAAAAGCGCTACTGGCGTGGGTGCCTACAGGCCTCTACCACACCACTCAGTACTCATAAATGGCTTAGTTATAGCGCTATAATAAGGTTTTTCTTATATTTTATTGATTATATTAACGAACAAATATTAATACAATAATTTAATTGTAAAAAATTATTTTTTTTTAAATTTATTATTTTTGTTTTTATTTTTCATTATTATTTTTTTTTTAATTTAACTTCATTTATTCTATACGGAGGTCGCTTAAGAAGACCTCTATTATAAAAATTATAAAATTATAATAATAAAACTTAATTCAAAAATACTTTGCAGAATATCTTGATTTTTTTATTTAATATTTGCAATTTAACATTTTGTTTCATGACTACATCACTTACAGATCTGACCACCCAGATAACACTTCCCACGCTGGTTCCTGCATCCTTATCCATAAATCTTTATCCCACTCCCTTATTCCTTCCACTCCAACTGATGCCATTCAATCAACTTCTATAGTCCTTTCAACTCGCCCTTTCCATCTCACATTCTCAGCTGTATACTGTCCTCCTGGTAATTCCATCTCCTATAACCTCCTTGAATCCTTATTTCAATCCCTCGGATCGCGCTTTATTGCTGGAGGAGACTACAATGCTAAACACCAACGATGGGGTTGTCGAACATCCAACTCCCGCGGTAACATCCTTTCACGTATCTCATCTTCCAACAGTTATTCAATCCTCTCGCCCATGAGTCCTACTTATTGGCCAACATCACTCAAAAAACGTCCCGATATCCTAGATATATTTATAACGTCCCAGATCTCCTCCTCACGAACCATAATCAAATCACTCGATGACCTTTCTTCAGACCATAGTCCAGTGCTGCTTTCACTACATTCAAGCTATGCTCCTAAACCATCATCTCCTAAATTGATTACAGGACGAGTACACTGGGACAACTTTCGTGATGACTTGGAAAACAAACTTGACTTGAAAATTCCGCTCAAGACAAAAGAAGACATTAATGGTGCCATAGATAAACTTACAACATCAATAACAGACAGTATAAACAGTAACACCTTTAACAGTAAGATTAACAATTTACAAAAGACTAACTTGCCACAGCATATTCGTATCTTATTACAGGAAAAACGCAGAGCAAGATCGAAGTGGCATAGAACTAGATATCCAACAGATAAAACTCATTATACCCAACTGACTAACAAACTAAAATCAGAAATTAGAAAATATAAAATTCAAAATTTACTAAATTTTACTGAAAAACTTACACCTACCGACAAATCATTGTGGACGACGACTAAACGGCTCCTGAAATTCAAAGACTTTAATCATCCACTTCTTACTGAAGATCAAACTTGGTCCAAATCTGATGAAGAAAAATCCCAAATTTTTGCTCATCACCTCTTCAAAACTTTTAATCCACATCCTGATATCCTTAATCCAAATCAGCTTGAATGTATTGAAACAGAACTGGATATCCCACTTCAAATGACTCCTCCTCCTAAAGCATTTCATCCTTCAGAAATATCCAATATTATTCAAAGATTACCCTCCCGCAAAGCTCCTGGCCACGACCTAATCACTTCCCACATTCTTAAGCTACTTCCTCGAAAAGCCATTCTATTCCTTACTTACATTTATAACGCCGTACTCCGTTCCACATATTTTCCTGACCCTTGGAAACTATCTGTAGTCAAAATGATACATAAACCCAAAAAGCCACCAGAATACCCATCCTCTTACCGTCCTATCTCTCTTTTACCCATCATGGGCAAAATCCTGGAGAAGCTCATCTTAAAACGCCTGTATCCCATCCTAGATTCTAACCACATAATCCCTGATCACCAATTTGGATTCCGCACATCCCATTCCACTATCCAGCAATGTCATCGTGTGGTAGACGTAGTCTCCTCTGCATTGGAGCGCGGAATGTATTGCACTGGAGTTTTTCTCGACGTTGAACAGGCGTTTGATCGAGTCTGGCATCCGGGATTGCTTTACAAACTCCGTAAATTCCTTCCCCCTACATATTTTCTTATCATCAGTTCCTATCTTACTGATAGGCACTTCAAAGTAAATCACAATAATACCTATTCATCCCTCTTTTCTCAATCTGCCGGAGTTCCTCAAGGTAGTATCCTTGGTCCTATCCTTTACACAGTTTATACAGCTGACATCCCAACCCATCCTAACACTGTTATTACCACGTATGCCGATGATACATGTGTCCTATCCGTTAATAATGACCCAACCATTGCATCCCAAACTCTTCAATCACACATCAAAAGCCTTGAAGAATGGTGTCAAAACTGGAGGATTAAAATAAATTCTAATAAATCCCATCAAATCACCTTTACCCTTCGACGTAAACCTATGACCTCATGTCCCACAGTATCCTTCAATAATACCCCACTTATCCCTGTTGAACAAATCCGATACCTTGGACTTCATTTGGACAAACGTCTAACTTGGAATCCTCATACCAGACTGAAACGACAAGAAACCGCTCGACGTTTCCGACTACTCCAACACTTACTAGACAAACGCTCTAAACTTCCCCTTAATTACAAAAGACTCATATACTTGACTATAATAAGACCTATTTGGACTTACGGAGTTGAGCTATGGGGCTCCACTAAACCATCGAATTCCTCTCGCATCCAATCCTTACAATCCAAAATCCTTCGTAAAATCCTCAATGCTCCTTACTTTGTCACTAATAAAATAATCCATAAAGACCTCAATGTTCCATATGTTTCCGATTTGGCCAAATCCAGATACCTATCCTTCCATAATAAACTTCATAACCATCCAAATCCTCTTGTTTCTAACCTTGCTTCCTCTTCGATTCCTGATAACCCTCCGAGGCGTCTGAAAAGAAAATGGCCTCGTGATCTTCTCATGTAGACAAATTATTAGAGTGCTACCAGTGGGTAGTTTCTCAACAAGCGTGTTTCATGTAATAATATTTCTCTGTACAAATTTACTTGATGTATTGATACTAATACAGTTGTAAATATCATAATAAAAGTTTAAAAAAAAAAAAAAAAACATTTTGTTTTATATATTT